TCCCCTCTCAGCCTTCTCTTCTTCAGGCTGAACAAGCCCAGCTCCCTCAGCCTTTCCTCGTAGGAGGGATGCTCCAGTCCCCTCGTCATCTTTGTAGCCCTCCGCTGGACTCTCTCCAGTAGCTCCTCATGTTTCCTGAACTGGGGAGCCCAGAACTGGACACAGTACTCCAGATGGGGCCTCACTAGGGCTGAGTAGAGGGGAAGGATGAGTAGATGGTCATGGATGTCCCCACACTGGCACCACGCTGCGCACCCACTGGTCCCTGGCACCGCTGGCACAGCCCCCTCGCACACCCACCAATGTCTTCCCCTCACCCATGGGACTGCTTCCCCTGATCTTGCAACCGTTTTTGGAGCGTTGTGCATGCCCACAGGGGACAAAGTGTGCGCCCCCGCTCCTCGCCACACCAATGCTGCCAGTCCTGCTTCTGCTCCCATCTTGCACGTGGGTTTCCAGCATGGACATGTGGGTGCTTGCCTCCATCCTTGGCCATGCCCCTCCCCAACCTCTCTGCGCAGGGAACAAGTGCCAGACAGCTGTGGGAACCTTTCTCCCCAGATATGCAACCTCCAGAGTGTGGCTCTGCAGCTTGTGGGTCCTTGTGCACCCCTTGGGCTCTGCGCCGGTGAACCAGGCACAGCTTTTCCCGCCACCCTGCTGCTGCCAGGGACTGGTGGGTGAAATAAAAAAGAGTGGGACGAGGGGGGACTTTGGGCACAAAGATGCACCGTCTGCTCGCTGCCCCTGTCTGCCTGGCCAAGGATGCTGGCATAAGGGATCCTCTTCTCGGCTGAGAAGGTGCATGGGGACGGGGAGCTGGGCATGGCCCCATGTCGATGTGTGACTATCAGAGCAGAGAAGGACCTGAGGGGGCTGAGCTCTGGCAGGTGTAGCAGTGATAGCTGTGAAATTGCATCGAGTCTGTCGGTGCCTTTGCCCCTCCAGCTGCCCCGGACCATGCATCCCTGTCCTTGCCTTCATTTTTATGACTTTTGGTCTCACCAGTAAAACGGTCTCAAACCTGCCAGAACAGGATTCAGGCCGCTGTGATTTTTCCTGGCCTGTGACCAAGGTTTTTGGGGCACGCTGTGCTGTTTTCTGCCGCAGAAGAGCTGGGACAGGCGTCAGGCATAGATTAGCTGGACGGGGCTGCCACAGATGCTCTGAGAGCCGATCCAAGGGGACTGGGCTCTGCGACAAGTTTGGGAGCAGCAACAGCTCTGAATGAGTTACAGAAGGAAATGCCAGGGAGTTTGAGCTCTGTCCGAAAAGGCTAACGGACATCCTGCTGCGGAGCACCGATAACCTCGTCACCTGCCTGCTCTTGCCTCTCAGTCTTCATTTTTATCTCATTAGAGGGGAAATGGGTTATAGTTGTTTCCATGTTATGTCCTTGCCAAGTTCCGCTTAGGTAGAAATGGCTATGAATGAAGCAAGCAGGGTTACTTTTCCCCTTAAATCCTGCTTTCGACGCACAGCAGCTGCCCGCATTTCCTCTGTTCTTGTAAAAACACCCAGGGGTTTTTCTGGAGTGTCTGTGTCTCTTCTCCCTGGTAAAAGAGACAGATGGAGCTGAGAGATGTGCCCTCCGCTGCCTGCAGAAACAGGTCAGGTCAAATGGGTACTGGGCATCATTCGCTTCCCGAAACTTTGGGGTGACTTCTCCTGCTTAGTCTTTTTCCTCCTTCTCCTTAGACATGGCTGCAGTAGAACAGTCGAGCAGTATGCTGCAGGGAGGCAGGCTGGGCTCCTCTTCAGCACTGCTCAAAAAGGTCAAACGAATTCAGTAAAACTGCGTTTGGGTGTTAAACATTTTTGTGACAGTTCAGCCAATGCTCTTGCTGTAAGAGTACTTCTGGTGATGGTGGGGGATTCACTGTGACGTTTGACTTCTGTGCCTCCACAGATCAAGAGCCCCAGCTGTAGCCAGTGGCACCCCACAGCCACAGAAAATACCTTGCTGAGCCTCAATGCCTTGTTCTTTCCAGCCGTGCTCACAACCCACCCATCCTGCTGCTGCTGCTTAGATCGGAAGTGCCACTTTGTGCTCTACAGCCCCAAAACCTGGCCACTGCTTGAAGCAGGAGCACTGTCTCCTCGGCCAGCGTGCGTTGATGGGCTCCAGCTGAGTGACGCTAATGCAGTTTGCCACGGTTGAAGACTTCTTCCCACCCCGGCATCTTTCCACGGCAGGCAAAAGGGCGAGGTGCTGCATCAGCCGGTACTGCGGAGGGAAGGTGTGGCCCAGGGCCAGCCTGTCCCTTTCCCTTATGGGACTGGAGCCACTGCGAGAGGGATCATGTCCTTACAGGGGCCACAGAGCACCTGCTTGAGCCTGGTGGGATCAGACACAGAGGCAGACAAGCGTTCTCTGGAATGCTGAAGGCTGCCTTGGTCAGGGGAAGAGCTGCAGTTTGTGTCAGTCCCAGGGCAGGTTTGTTGTGGTTGTAAGCTGCGCCCCAAAGAAAGCATATTAAGGAAAGTTTAAATATAGAAGGCCCAGTCAGCTTCAGACGTGGGAGGCCCGTGTACCCAAGTCCCATACTGGTATACTCCTGTTGCAGTCACTCCTGATGTCCAGGGAGAAGACCTAAGCCTCAAACTTTTAGGATGACTCTCAGAGTGTAAAAAAGCAGGAGTGCAGCCTGGACATTCTTCCCCTCTCCTCAAACAGGAGGCTTTTTTGTTGTGCTTCACAGAAAAAAGAAAATAAATCTTTGCAGTATGATGTCAACAGTCTGAAAACTTGGCTTCTTCCATGCTCTCTTCCTCTTTAAGTGTAACCAGCAGCTGTCCGTCCCCCAGCTCCTCCTGACCACAGCCAATATCTCTTGGACATCACTTCCTTGTGGCATCCCACGTCAACTCCCATCTGTTCTGGGATGCCTTTCGCTGTTTGCTCCCTGTCCAGCCTCCCAAGCACCCAGCCCCCTGGGTCGAGCGGCACCCATGCAAGATGAGACCCTTTGCCCCGCGTGCCTAGTTTATCTGTCAGTGGCTGCATGGCCCAAGACTGCCTTTTAAAGCAGCCACCTCCATGATGTCACACTGAGGAGCAAGGTGCCAGTGCCAGCTCACGCTAGCACTTGCTGTGCAAAGAACACAGAAGGCAGAAATGCCTTTTTTTAGAGAAATGGTGCCCCAGGGCGGCAACAGCCACAGGGGCGAGGTAGGGCACATCTCTGTGGCATTTGCCAGATGGTGGCCCTTTGGGGATACTGATCAGTGGTGCAGCGTGTGGTAAGTGAAATCCAGCCAGAACACTGCACTGCTTTTTGCCTTTTTATTCCCACCCCTCTTGCAAAAAATAAAGCCTGCGTGAGGTCCACCCCATCTCTCCCCTGGAAGTTCTGTGGCTCAACCAGTGCTGCCACCGGCCAGCACCAGCTGCCTGGGAGAAGTTCGCAATAGTCAGTTGCCAGCACGCAGGGTTCCTGCCCGCAATTTTGCATTAGTCATTGCATTGTTTCTCCTGCTGCAGCACAGACCTTTTCTGGGATGGTTTTGTCTTTGCCAGGAGAGGCACGAGTATAGCGTGAGAGGAAAAACAGATTGCCTTGGCTCAGAAGCCCAGTAGTAAGCATTTCCCCATGTTTCTACAGCTCTGTGTGGAAATACTTATTTGTGTCTTTCAGAGAAAAGCATTATCCTTTTGGAAGGGGCAAGGACGAGGGAATAAGTCAGGCTCACGTGCAATAGATAATGTTTTATGAGTGCTTCTGGCCATTGGTGGTCTCCAGAGGCTCCAGGACATGGGTGCTAGTGCTGAGAGAAGCTGGGCAGAGCTGATTACTCAGGGGAGAAAGGGCAGGCAGGAGCCGAGCAGATGGTAAAAGCACGGGGAGGAGGAGGGCAGGTGAGAAGGACTAGCTGTGGGAAAGGGGGATAATTCCCAGTGCTGGGGAGACCAATGCTGGTTTTGGTTACCTGGTGTGGGAACACCTCATCTTCCTCTCCGGCAGGCATCACTCAGAGACGCACTGCTATCAGGTACCGCTTTTCCCAGCTGGTACACTTGCACAACATCCCGTTCAACCCGACGAAGATGATCCACCAGGACGAATGGCATCTGCTCCCTAAGTGTTCAGCACAGCCCACTCCTTCCTGGTGAGGCCTGTGGCTCGTGCTCTCCCTTTCTCATGAAAAACGCAGCAATGAGACACTAGTTTGCAGAGGAGGGGGCTGAGGCAGGATCCCACCAGGGCCCAGCCATCAGCAATTTTCACCCTCACTTTTACTTGCAGGCTGCTACGGTCAGTCCAGGAAAGTGTGAACACCGCACACAAGGTTTTTTAAGCTTGTTGAATGTAACCTGCTCTCAGCCACCTTTCACAGGCAGATCACCTCTCCCCTTGCCTCTCCAGGGGTCTGCAGACAACAGCTTGAAAACCTGCGTTCTGGTGTCACTGGAAAAGGTCCAGCAGGAGAGGCGTCAGAAGCTGACAACAGAAGCCACGTTCTGAACAATTATGGCAGAACCTGTCTGCATGGAAACTCCCCAGCATTTAGAAATCAGACCATTTCTGTCCATCCAAGTTACTTCAAATTTAAACTCTGGAAGGAAATAGAGAACAAAGAGTGTATAACAGTGTGTCTGCATAAAACCATGCTGCACCCACATCCTGAAGGTCATATGGCTGAAGCCATATGATTATATGGTTCATATGATACCGGGAAGTTTATAGCACAAATACCAACCCACTAGTTTGTAGCAACCTTGCTACAGGATCACTTTCTACTTACAGGTACTCACTCATAGGCCTGGGATTACTCCCACTGTGGGTCTGCCTGGCACGGGCCGGCTGCACTCGTGGCTATTTCTAGGTGTCCTTCCACTTCTCCTGCAGTGGAAGGCTTGTCTGTGGTAACACCCACTCTCAGTTTTGTGGGTTTGCTGGAAACAGACTTGAGAAGGATCACGGCCGGATTCCTGGGCATGGCTGCAATTGTTCTTTGCTGCAGGTGCATCGTGCAGCCGTCAGCTTCTTTTGGGAAGAAAGCCTCACCCAGCATGTTGCAGGTCTGCTGTTCCTGACAACAGGTAACACGTCATTCTAGCATGCTAATTATGGATGAAGGCTTCACCAGGTTTCCCTTGGGTAGGCAGCATGCACTGCCAGTAAGCGGAGCACGCCTTTCCTTCTGATCGCCAGTTACTGAGCCTTGTGTGAAGTGAGTCACTTACTCATACAAGTGGAATAACCAATAATTAGAAACAAAAAACCTGTGAAAAATGCTCTAGGCCTCATGCAGCACTAGGAAAGGACCACGGGGCTAAAACAACTGCTCCCTTCTCTTTATGTATGAAGTGATCTCTCTTCTCCAGGACAGAATGGTCCCTTGCTACAGTTTACAGTCCTCGAGGGTGGACTACATATTTCTTTTAACACTGAAGTAGAAAAGAGGAATACTTCAAGAAAAAGTCTTGGTCATTAAATTCGCAGTTGTTCAGAGGGAGAGGAAAGGTAAAATCCATGAACACAAAGCCAGCATGAGTCTGAACCATTCAAACTCATGAGGCTAAGCACAACACGTTCTCTTGTGCCAGAGGAAATATTTGGATTTGAGCAGCTGTAACGCACAGCACAGCTATATTTTTTTTAATACATTTGGAAAGCACAGGCCTGAGGAAAGGCTCATTGTGCATGGATATTTTAGGCGCTTCATGAAAACCTTAGCCTAACAAAAAACGCTTAAGGAAAAGTGACCCAACAGAAACCCTAGCCTGGGAGAAGGGTGTCAGCAGAGCGCTGGGGAGCAATTTAGCCTGAATGGTTCCTCTGCAGAAGTATGTGGAGGGCCACCCGCGGAGATAGATTACCTGCTCAATAACCTCCAGATCAGATAACACACAGCACATGCAAAACAATTTCCCTTGCCTGCTCTGATGTGTGCAGCAGGCTCTGCTCCTGCAGAGGGGATTCGGCATCACAACAGGAGCTTGTGCAATGTCATTGCGTCCCGTGGGTCAGATCTGATCACAGATGGAGGCACTGGCTACCTTGCTCTGTTTGCAGGGCAGGCACGACTGAAGTCAGAGAGCAGACTCTCTTACTCTTAAAAGTAGCAACCAGGAAGTTTGCTGGATGCAATTTGCAACCACAGAGCTAGGGCTTAGCCTTGCATAATTGGATAATATGCAAAAACTTCATGAGTGCCGGTAATTATCACCTGTGTGCTACCCAAGATAACTTATACAAACAAAGCTGGGTGCAACTTATTTGATTAGTAAGGCCTAACATTTATTTTGTTATTCACTCACGCTACATCTGAAAATAACAATGTGATTATCTAATTCACAGGAATATTCTGCACTAAAGGTCTATGCACTTATGTAGCCAACATGTCATATGACCTAAACCACCTCCCCACATTCGTCTATAATCTTCCTGATGATGTAGAACATGGATACAGCTGGTCTGTATTTCATCATTGGTGCAGTCTGGGATTTACAGTAGCAACCGGGTGTCTTTGCACATATTACCCATTTGTTAGCAGGGGCAACATTATGCAGCTGAAGCCCACCAGAGACGACTCCGTATGACTGCCCACCTGCCACCAACACCCTTTAGTGGCAGCTGAACAGTATTTTGCAGGACTTGAAGAAGCAAAAGTGAAGGAAAAACTAAACTCAATTATCTCAAGCACAAAAGCCTGATTCTTCAAAATCTGACCATCACGTTTTACTGGCTCAGTAACCTGTTCTTCCATGCTGCCCAGCAGAGAGATTTGAAAAGGAGACAGCTCTCAGAGGATGGAGATGGCTCAGGATCAGATGCTACAGTTCAGCATGCCAAGTCCATGCAGAGGAATGTTATTTGCACTGGAAGGTAATGGGGAGGAAAGTTGCTGTAAGAATTTAGTGCTATTTCTATTTTTTTCAAGGATCTGTACATAAAGAAATTAAGGAAAACTCACTGTTGCCAAATGAATCCTAGCCAGAATTATACCCCCCTCCCCAAAGCATGATCCGTAACATTTTAATTCAGTACCTTCCACACTTGACCCTAAGGGAAGGCTTTGGTGCTGCTCCCCTCCCAAAATGCCCAAACAGACCTTTTTCTTCTAAAACAGCATACACCCGTGTCTCTTTGTGTATCCTTTGTACATAAAGTTGCCATGTCATTTGTAAATAACTAACATTTCCATTCCGAGCACACAAGCTGCACCATGAGGATTAAATTACTCTTGTCCATTCCTGGATGGTCTCTTGGTTACGAGGCATTTGTCAAGCTACAATATCTGTAGTAAAATACTTGCCTCTGTCAAAAGCATTTATGTCAACTGCAATTTCACAGCTTGGAAATGGTGTCTCCTGCAAGGCAGAGAAAGTTCATAAACCAGGATGGTCACAGCCTGGACAGTGCTTGCACCAAGCATCCCTACAAGCCCCCTGCAGCATGCTGGAGTTAGAGCCCCAGAGAACTTCTCCTTCTTGGGCCAAGAAGCCACCCATGGCAACAGAGGGAGGGGGAGAGGCTAGCAGGCTAGTGGCTTTGCATTTTCCAGTGCTTAATGGCAGGGACACGTGAGTTAACAGATGAAAGCACCATGCTGATCTGTCAGACAGCAGTCAAACTGACAGAGCCCATCCCCACAATTAAGAGACTTCAGTGCTATGTTGATGCATCTGTCACAACTCATCCAAAGCTAAAATCCTCTGCCATCACCTAAAAGCCAGTGTTGTCTTTGATGCATGGCATCCATACCATTCACTGCCAGAGCAGTATTTCACACCTGCTGAGCACACAGAAAGAGTTGGCCAGGCCCCTGGAAGGTCCTCCAGGCTGCCTTACAGAGGGCATGTGCTCTGCTGGGAACAAAGCAGACACTGCTGATGGAGCAGAGCGATCAGAGAAGCCAATTCTGCAGCAAGGGTGGATGGTACAACATGAACACAAAGGGGAATGGTGGGGAGAAAGGGTCACATACAAAATATTGTGAGCATAGGGCTGAGAAGAGAAGAAGGGAGATGCAAGAGAAAGGTTGGTAGAAGAGCAAAGCGAAGGAAGGGGAGGTGAGAGGCAAGGGCGGTGGAACAGAAATATTGCCTTAGTGCAATAACCATCAACTAAATGACAGCAGAAAAAGTCAGTGCCAAATTAGGCTAAGAAACACAATCATACAAAGTAGACTAAAACCAAACAGATCAATTAATCTATCTGGGAGCAAACAACATGCCAGGAGAAACTAGCACCAGCACTAAGCACAGCTTCGGGGCCAGCCTTCCCTGCATTTTGGCACTTGGCTTCACCACTGAGCACAGAGCAATGTTTCTCAGCAAACAGTTAGGTCCTGTTGGAGTCAGCTCACACTTGTTTATGTGGTTGTCTCACCATACACAGATCTGGGCAGAAACACTCTCTCCAGATGGTTTATACATCTAATAACACCAAGAAGGTTTAACTTGGTTCCATCTCATGTGAAGGGCACAAATAGTCATAGGTGACACTAAACTGGGGGAGCTGGATACCATAATGAATGGCAGAACTTCTGCCCAGAAAGGCCTCAGTCAACTTGTGAAGTAGCACCTTGTGGTGTTTAAAGAGGAGGTAAGCAGAGCTCTGTGGGTGGGGTGACACAGCCCCATGCGTTCAACCAGGCTGGGAGATTCAAGCTGGGTGGCAGCTCTGCTGAGAAGGGCTTGGGGTTACAGCAGAAAACATGCTGATCCTGAGCCAGAAGCGTGCTCCCATTGCAGGAAAGACAAACAGGCTACACTAGGAGCCACACGGCTAGCAGAGCCAGAAGAGTGACTTTATTCTCTTTCATCAGGGCTGCTGAGGCCTCACCAGGATTTGTGTCCAGTGGTACATCCTCCTGTTCAGGAGGGGCATGGGGAAATAGGAGAGGGGCCAGAAGAGGCTGCAAAAATGGTTAGGGACCTGGAGCACAGTGCCATGAGGGGAGGGAGCCAGGCTTGGGTAGTTTGGTGAGAAGGAGTCAGAGGGGGCATCTACCAGGAGCCTGTGACTGCTTGAAAGGCAGGTACAGGCACGAAAGCACCAAACTCCAGCAGCGAGGGACAACAGCCACAGATTGCAGTCTGGGAGGCTCACACGTAAGGAAAGCTTCTCCCCCAGGAGGGTGGTGTCCCCTGGAACACGCACCCAGAGAAGCAGGGACCTCCATCCTTCGAGGTTTAAGACTTGGGCAGACAAAGCCCCAGCTGATGTGCTCTAGCATTGGCAGCAGACCTGCTCCAATGCGGAGGCTGGAGGCCACCAGAGGCCCCCCTCCCACAGGCATGACAACTGTATTGAAAAAGACACCTCAGCGTTGTACAAAGGTGGGGGGGCTCCACAAGCAGTTCTCAACAACAGTAAGTTTTCGTCTCTTGAAATACAATTAGCCTTAAGATTAAAGTCTCTTCACTTACCCAGCCAAAGCACCTTGTCAGAATAAAGAAAAAAAAAAAGTGAAAACCCCAAATCAAACCCTAGACACACTACTAATCGTATCTCCATACTAATCACAGCAGAGGAACACAACACATGAGTCCATACCAGCTTGCCAAGTTGCAAATGCTTTTCCAAAATAGCATCTGAAAGCAATCTGCAGTATTCTCTACAAAAAAAACTTCCCTGTCAGCTCAGCAGCCATGGGAAAGCCTCAAAATTAGACTGGCCTCCCCCCCAAATACCTTTTGCATAGACTAAAAAACACTGCTAAGAACTCTCTCTTTTCAGGAAAATTTTTCCATATGCTTCTTTGCAGGTAGAAGGCACTTCCACTTGCTTAGCCACTTGGCAAGTTTTTCCATCTTCCACACTGTGCCCTTGGAGTAACATTAATAAGTGATGAAAAGCATTATTTTTTATAGAAATAAGTCTCTTCAACCTAAAAATCTAAAGCACACCCATCAGACACATGCAAACGCTGCAAAGAATTAATACAGAAGACAGTTTATTTTTCACCCCCAAGTAATCTCAATAGCAACATTTCAAACTCATCAGAAACCAGCTTTAAAGGCACATGCTAAAGCATACATCCAGCCCTCAAGAATAGCTGGACGCTTCTTCAGACAAGATGTGCTTCTCAAAAACATTGCTGAAGGTGAAAATCCATTTACATTTAACATTACCACATTTGTTTCTGCAGTTCTGAAAAGCAAGTCCGTCTCTCCCAGAGAAATTCCTCCCAGTACTGAGAGGCTTTGCCTAAACAAAGATTTGAGGACTCTGTCTCAATATTACAATTTTTTACAGTAAAAACACTTGAAACAGTAGTAGGCATCTTCCACCGCTCCTAAAAACCAAAGAGAGAAAATCAGCGCCTTAGGACATCCAGAGAAAGTGAGGGGAGCTAACAAACGGCACAGGGTTTGTTCGGATCAGCAGGGTTCCACTGGATCAATGCCATGCTGCTTCCCAAATGTATCAGGAGTCAAGTTCACTGTGGCACAGTGCAAGAAAGCTACCGATTCCCAGCAGCAGAGATCTTCCTGTATTTGTATATGAAAGCGTCCGTCTTTCCAAGACTAACCCCATAGACGCCATCTGGCACCAGAGACCCAAAATGCGTCTGTCTGCTGCCGAGAAAGGATTCTTCAACACCACCCACCGAGGAGGAAGGATTCCCACCAACAGCCGGGGCTTTTGCGGTGGCGGTTTCACTTGCACCATCAGAAACGGCATTAGGAGACTCATTTTCAGCACACTTGGTAATGCCGTCCATGCGCTTATGGAGATCTTGGCTCAGCAGCAATACGACAGTGCCTCCCACACGGACTACCCTGGCAGTTGCAGGAAAAATAAAGGTGAGGTGTTCAGCCTGCCTGGCATTCATTCATCCGTGCAGAACTCAACGCTGCTGACGCTTCAGACACCAGCTGCATGCGACAAAACACCTAAGCACGTTAAGGGTCATGGCTCAACTCAGCAACCTACATCTCCCAATGGAATTTAAATTCCCCAGCTTCTTAACTCTTCCTAAATGGGAGAACTGGGCCCTATCCTGACTCCCAAACATTTCTGACCTCACAAGGTCTTTCCACTGGGTTAGCAGGGAAATTGGACCCATTTTTTTTTCCCTCTTAGTATTGTTCCAAGGATTGAGGGCAGCATCACCTTCAGATCCCATTTCTGGGTCCCATGAGCCCCCCCCACTCTGCAAAGGAACAGCTGCCCAGGGCAGCACCAGCTCTTCAGGTTGGTAAGGCAGTTCTGAAGCTGGCCTTTCCCTTTGGAAACTGCAAAAGGTCTGTCCTTTCTGTGCTCCACTGAGCCTTAACGGCTTTCAAACCCAGGAAACAGAGGAAAAGGAACCACCGTTTGTCATCCATGTTTCTTAGGACATGAGCAAACATTACACTTGGCTTTGAAAGAGGGGAGGCATCTAAAAGCAGACCAGGTGGGTAGCTGGACCTTCCAGTATACCCTAACAGAAAGGAAAACGCATACCACCACTTTCTGGTCTGAGAACCTTCCTGCCAAGGCAGGAAGCTTGGTAAAAGCTGGGCTGTGAACCCAAAAGGAAAGCCTATGATTTTATACAATCAGACCTCAACTGAGAAATGACTGCTGCTTTATTTGCCTGGTCATG